TATTGTGCATATTTATTTTATTGTTTTTCAGGTTTAGATAATAAGTTCTCATCAGAAAATTTGAACACAATTTTATTATACGATTTGATTTGTACTATACCTTTTTGAGTTTTGCAATTTTCATGAGCCTGAACTTTTTGTGGTTAATATTGAGTTTGTCTTTGTGGATTTACTGTTCCAAATTGAAAAGGTAGTATTGTAAGATAGACAGTGTTCAGAGTTTCTCATTACCTTGACTTAATCTTGTTTTCTTACTAATTTGGGGTCAGACTTGTCTCTGGTCAAAATTTTCTTGCATGATGGAAAAGAAAGCATAGTTAGAAAAGGCAAAAGAGAATTTAACTTACATGATAGTATATAAAGGAGTAAAAAAACTGCTATAACTGCAAAAAAATTTTTTAATATAAGATGATTATATTAATTTTCAGTTGCTGCTTAAGAAGTAACCATAAATATAGCATCTTACAGCCACACCTGTTTATTACCTCACAGTTCTGTATACAGAAGTCTGGACAGGCTGGGTTCTCTGCTTCAGCTCTGACCATCCGAGCTCAGGATTGTCAGCCAGGCTGCCCTTGTCTGGAGTCTCTTGGGAAAATTCTCTTTTCAGACTTATTCAGGTTGTTGTCAGAGTCTAGTTCTATGTGGTTACAGGACTCTTTCCCTGTGTATTTGTTGTCTGGCGCCCTAAGCTCCAGAACCCTTGACACTTGACTCCTTTGCCTTCAGGCCAGCAGTGGTGCTGTTAAATCCTCACTATGGAGAATTTCGTGGCTCCCTTTTCTAAAGGCCAGATGAAAGTCAGCTTTTAAAGGACCAGTGTGATTAGAGTAGGTCTATGAGATTAATGTCCCTTTTGATTAACCCAGAGTTAACTAAGTTTTTAAAGAAATCCAACTCATTGCTGTCTAGTCGGAACTGACTCTTAGCTGCCCCTCCAGCTGTTTTTTGGAGCCTGTAAATTGTCCAGGAACAGAGTGTTCATCTTCTCCCTTAGAGCCACTGGTGGGCGGTGGACTTGAACTTCCTGAGAGGCTCCATCTTTGGTTAGCAGCACAACTGCTTATAGACTCCACCACTAGAGCTTCCTGGTCAACTAATTAGAAGCCTTAGTTCTATCTGCAGAATCTCTTACTATGTAATGTAACCACCATGAGCGTGCTGTCTGATTTGTATTATTCTTATTAGGTGCCTTCAGGTGGCTTCCAATTCACCGTGACTTTGTGTAGAACAGTGAAACACTGCCAAGCCCTGTGCCATCTTCATCATAGCTGTTGCTGTGTTTGAGCCCATTGCAACCACTGTGTCAGTCTGTGATGAGGGTCTTCATCTTTTCCACTAACCTTCTCCTTTACCGAGCTTAATGTCCTTGTCACTCCTGATATCCTGATAACATGTCCAAAGGAAGTGATGCAAAAATCTTACCACACTCACTTCTAAGGAATATTCTGGCTGTACTTCTTCTAGGACAAATTTGTTCATTGAAGACTGTGACACATTCTATATTTTTTGCTAACACCGTAATTCAAAGACATTGAGTCTTCTTTGGTCTTATTGGCCAACTTTAGCATGCATCGAAAGTGATTGAAAAAGCCATTGCTTGTGTCAGGTACACCTCGTTTTCAAAATGATACTTTTGCTTTTTAAAACTTTAGAGAGGTCTTCTGCAGCAGTTGTGCCCAGTGTATTATGCCATTCATTCATTCACTCATTCATATATATATATATATTTTTTTTTTTTTTTTTTGAAGGGCGGGGGTGCTGCTGCTGCCAGGTGCATTTATTCTGGATCCAAGTAAAACAAAATCTTTGAAAACTCCATTCTTAACTCCATTTATCATAATATTCCTGATTGGTCCAGTTGTGAGAATTTTTGTTTTCCTGATGTCGAGGTATAATCCATACTGAAGACTGTAATCATGGATCTATCTTCTCCAGTAAATATTTCAAACACTCTTCACTTGAAGCAAGCACGGCTGAGGGTGGTTGCCTGATTGATAGAGTTGTCTCCTGTTCAGTTCTTCAGCCCGCACTAAAGCTTCTTTCTGCCTCTTTCTCTCGCCACCCCAACCAGTCCCCTTTTATATGTAGTCTCGGCCATTGAGTTGATTGCAACGCATAATCACCCTCCATTGGGTTTCTGAGGAGACCATATAGCTTTCTCCTGCAGGGTGCCTGGTGAACTCAAACTTCTGACTTAATTGGAGTAGTGACCCAACAATGCACATGGCGCTCTCTCATTCTCTCTCTCTCCTTTCCTCTCTCCTCCTCCCCACTCTTGTACTTCCTCTCTCTCTCTTTCTTTCGCGCACGCTCGCTCTCTCTTTCTCTCACACTTATGTATATGGAAAGTGAGATGAGATATAGATATGCTTATCTGTATATTTCCATATAATTATGTATTTGCCATGTGCATTGAATACCTGCTATACCCAGATTCCCTTCTAGGGAAGACTGCAGTTCATAGCTCCTACTAAAAGAGCGTTCCTAGGTGCTCTTTGGCACTAAATACATTGGACCTAGATTGAGGCACTGATGTTAGAACTGCCTTATCTTAAGATTTCCTGTGCAAAAAGATAATCTGGGCAAAATTTGTTAGGGTTTTGAACTGAGATACTGAGGGGATGAGTTAGTTTGAATTGAGAGGTGACAGTGAGTCGTGATCAAGTGCAACAGGGGCCATGACAGTCCAACATTCTGACAAAGCAGAATCCACAAAGAGAATAGGAGATTATACACCACTTGGAATGAGAAAGATCCAGACAGCTACTTGGGGAATAGCTAAGACCAGTTAATGAAGACCTCAAGAGAAGAAAATTCATACCCACAGCCCCTCAGATTCTTAAAGCTGCCTTGGATTAGAGTTCTGGTCCTGAATCTTTGTCCTCTGCAGGTCCGTGTTCTTCCTTAGGTCTGGTTCCCTGGCATGTCCAGGATCCTTAAGTAGTCAGTTCTTTGTGGTAAATCCCTGAAGTAAAGACAGTATCTAAAGTTGCCTTGAACTGAAAGGGCATCTAGAATATTCCCAGTGAATCAGGTGCCTCCCTGTTAAATCCGTTGACAGTAGGACCATTTTTCTTCTGATACTTTCTCATACTGACTTTTAGAGAACCAGGGATGTGCCTGGATAGCTGCTTGGGAGAAACTCTCCGCTGTGTCTGGATTCCAGCTCCTTCAAGGAAAACCCCAGAAGCCTCTAGAGGGCTCAGGATGAGGCTTTGGGCTTCTCCCAGGTGAGATACCAGTAGAAAATACCAATTCACTCCCTCAGGTAGGTAAGGAAGTCTTTCCCAAGAGAGATCAAGCATTAACTACAAATTCTGATAGAATCCCACCCCTTGATTCTTCACTTGGCCTGATTAAGAGTTTCAGACAGTGGTAAGAAGTAGAGTGTTCTTTTTTTTTTTAACATTCTACTAGGGTAAGCCCTTCAGTGAGAGTCCCATTTTTTTTTCAGTCTGTTTGGGGCCAGGAAAAAGAATTTTTATTAGAGTAAAAGTTCTTGTCAATTTCATCTCAAATCTGATGGATTAAATATTTCAGAAATGTAACTTTTTCTCTAGTTGCAGTGTAATTTTTCTAAAGAAACATAGGCCTCTTTCTGTCATCTTGTGAGCTGGAATAAATTGACCCTTTATTTTGTTAAGTTCTAACTGATCAACTTGCCCAGTATCAATAATTTATCCCAGTGGAAGTCTGTGTCTTCAGAATTGTAGACAGTTCTTGACTAAAAGTACAAGAAAGGAACAATTAGTGTAAAATGGGCTATTGTTGAAGTCGTGATGGTTGTTACATACTATAGCTGACCCTCCAGTAGCTTTTCAGAGGCTGTAAATAGCACAGGAGAGAGAACTTACCCATCTTTCTCCCAAGGAGCCGCTGGAGGATTTGGACAGCTTGGCTTGAGGTTAGAAGTATGACCTCTTACCCACTAGGCCACCAGACTCTATAGCATTGTTAAGGAGCATCCCTCTTTTTTTTTTTGTTAAATTTAGGTTGTTAAGGAGCATCTCTTAAGTGGATGGTGGTGGATAGCAAATGCTTCCCGTGTTCTTAGGAAATACGGGTGAAAATATTTGTTAGTTGAAAGATCACTGTAGGTGACTGACCTTCATAAACAGAGGTGGAGGGAAGAGGCATTTTTGCTATTTTTCTATAAGTTTGAGATCATGGTGTTTTGTTTTGTTTTGTTTTTTTTAAAAAAACATTTTTAGGGTTGTAGTGCAGCTTCTTGCCACTAAAAAAGCATTTTTAAAATACCTGCATTAAGGGAGCTCTGGTGGCCTAGAGGCAAGAAGCTGCACTGCAATCCCTAAGGTGTTCAGTTCTAATCCACCAGATGCTCTGCTGCATACGAAGGGGCAATCTCCTGTGCCAGTCGGATCTGATTTGATGACACACAAAAAGAAAAGAGAAGGGGACTGGGGAAGTACCTGCTTTAATTTATGACTGAAATAGACTGGAGAAAAGTTGACATCTCAGCAGTCACAGAAGGTGGGGAGGTTGGTTAACTACGGTTTATAATCTTGTCTGACTGGTGTTGGAGGCTCGGGGACTGGTCCCCTCCATCCTTTAGTTCGTGTATTTTCCCCAGAACTCACACTGCTGTTGAGTTTATTTCACTGATAGAGACCTTCCATTTGGGTTTCTGAGGCTGTAAATCTTTACAGGATTGCCCATCTTCAGGAGCCTCTGGGGCCCAGGAGGAGGCTTTGAACCACCGACCTTTCAGTTAGCAACCTGATGTGTTACACACTACTCCAGCAGTGCCTAATTTTTGTAGGATCAACAATTAACATCATCGTATATGGAATATTTGTCTTAAGACATGAGAACATTGATCTTGAGGAAGAAATGGTCATTACTGTCAATGACAGTAAAAGAGAAACAGTTGAAGGAATCAGTTCATGCACAGGAATGTCTGTCTGTTGAGAGTTACATTTATTAGCAGGGACCAATCATCAGCTAGTGGAAAGAGTCTGGGAATTCTAGACCAGCCACTAAAAGCCCACCAGCTCGTCGTCCCTGGATTTGCCAGTCTGGAAACCAGTAAGTGTCAAAGACTGACTTCGATCTTGTCCAGGCAGGCTTTTGAATATTTTCACGTGAATGTACGTATTATCGCCTACTCGTATCTGAAAAGATAAAATCAGAGAGTCATCAACCTGGATCCACACCAAGGAAAACATCTATAGCCTAGCAATACTGTGTGGCAATAAATATTTCCTGAATAGCGTGCTTAGACCCATTGCTTCCATAAACCCACCACCTTTCTTTAACTGAGGGAAAGGCAGGCTAATGACATAGTTGTGAGCCAGAAGGTTGTTGATTTAAACTCATTGAGCAGCTCTGGGAGAAAGACCTGGCCACCTGTTCCCATAAAGCTGTTAAGTGCTGTCGTGTTGGAACCAACTCATAACTGACTCTCTAGTGGGTTTTCAAAGATGGTAAATCATACAGCAGGAGATTGCTCATTTTTCTCCTGTGGAGCTGCTAGTGGACTTGAACCACTTGCCTTTGGGTTGGCAGTAGGACTGCCTATTTCTAGGCCACTAGAGCTCCCTGTTTCCGTATAGAGTACAGTAAAGATAATCTAAGTGAAGTAAGTGCAGCATATAAAAATATTACATGATCCTTGTACAAGAAGATAAGACAGACTAATGTTCAAAGACAGCCCTGGTGTAATCCATAGAGAGTTGCACTGCTAACCTAATAATGGTGGTTCAAATCTACCAGCAGTTCCTTGGGAGAATGATGGGCAATCTCCCATGCAGCTTACAGCCTCTGAAAGCACACGGCGGCATCAGCTGTGAGTCAGTTCTGACTCGACGGCAATGACTTTGATACTGATTTTTTATGTTCATTGGTGTTTGCCAGCGTGTGAAGTGTGGGGAGGAGAAAGGATGCTTACTTCACGGAGACTATAATATTTGATGATGGGGAAAAGTGGCCCTGAGTGTGTATGTAGAAAGCACAGTACAACCAAAGAGAAAATGAGTGCACATATATGGGTGGATGAGTATAGGCTTGTATATAGGTGAGAACAGACAGAACTGTCTATTAGCCCAAAATATAATGTCCCCTCCCAGTGAGTGACTAACTGATAGTGACCCTCCATCAGGCCTCCAAGGCTGTAAATCTGCCCAAATGGTTACAAATGCTCTTCCTCAAATGGTTACTAGGAGCTGAATACTCTGATAAGCATTTCGAAGACATTATTCTCATTCTAGACCTGAAAAAAGAATATAGTTTTTACAGCTGAGGATACAGATAGATTATGTAATTTTCCATACATCTCTCAGCAAATAAATATAACAAACTACCAACAAACCAGATGTCTAGCTTTACACCTCCCAAGTGGTAATTTCAAAGTTCGCCAGTGATGATGGATTTATGACATCTTTTGCTTCTAAATGCAAAAAGATTTCTTAGGTTCATGTCACTTCACTTCCAGACATTATGTAGACAAACGTTTCATACCAGTCTAGAGCGTGTTTGGCTTGTGACCGTGGCTGCCTCGCTGTGAGGTTGGAAGGTAATACCTCAGCTACTAAAGGCATGAGGCTGGGCCAGATGAGTTCAGAAGCTTAAGACCCTGTTGCTGTTAAGGTAATCCTCACTTAGAATAACACTAAAAGACAGAATAGAGCAGCTTTGCAGGGTGTTCGAGGCTGTAAATCTTTGTAGAGGCAAAATGCCACGATGATCTCTCCCTCGGAGCAACTGGGGAGCTTGAACTGCTAATCTTTTGGCTAACAGCCAAGTGCTTTAGCCACTGAGTCTTCAGGGCCCTTATCTTGATTTTGACTCTATCTCAAAGCTCTGTCATTCTGTTGTCTAAATTGTGAGCTCTGGTGGCCTAGTGGTAAGAATCTGCTGTAATCTGAAAGCATGTGGTTCAAATCCACCAGCTGCTCTGTGGGAGAAGAAGGGACAGTCTCCTCCCATTTGATTAAAGGCCTCTGAAAATGTACTGGAGGGTCAGGTAGGGGTCGCTTCTAACTCGATGGTACTCAACAACAACAACAACATGTCTAAATTAGATTTTAGGAATAACTAGAGTCATTAACTGGGAAAATAATTCAAGCTACTCTGCCCTATTAGTAAGCACTCTTTTTTTTTAAAAAAAGATCATTTATTTAACAAGTTGCTCAGTGTTGCAGTGATTTGGGAAGCTCTATCCCTCATATTTTTAAAAATTTTATTAATTTTAATGAACATTTACAGAGATTTTGGATTTCTAGTCACTCATATTTTGAATACTAACAGGGTCACTGTAGTAGATAGATTTCAGTGGAACTTCCCAACTAAGACAGATGAGAACAAAAATTTGGTGATCTCCTTCCAGAAATGAGCTAATGAAAGCCCTGTGCATTGTATTCTGTGTTGCAGTGATATTGGATCCAGGCCATGGTTTTTCAGCTGGGCAGTGACTAAGGATGAAAGAAGAAAAATCAAAGCCTTTGAGTTGGGCTGCTAGAGAAAAGTATTGACTATCCCATGGACTGCCAAGAGAACAAACGGTCTGTCTTGGAGAATGTGAAACCAGGGTGCTTCTTGGAGGCAAGGATGGTGGACCTTGGCCCCACATACTTTGGGCATGCTGTCAGGAGGGGTCGGTCCTTGGAGAAGGATATTATGCTTGAAATGGCAGGTGTCATTGAAAGACATGAAGACTCTCAATGAGGTATATTGACATGGGGACTATAACAATGGAGTCAAGTTTGTTGGAGATGGTGAGGTTGGCTCAGGAGCCCTTGTTCTGAGTCATCATTGACTTGATGGCATCTAACAACAACAATGTATTATAATGGAGTATTGCCCAGTGTAATGTTGGAAGATGAGCTCTCTCAGTGGGAAGGATAATGAAGATGACACGTGACACTGCTTCATTTTATTATACATAAGATTGCTGCGAGTCAGAGCCTGCTCAACAATAACAGCAGGAACACCTGGGGGCATCATCTTGATTTGTTGTTGTTATGTGCCATTGAGTTGCCTGTGAGTCATAGCGACTCTGTGTACAATAACTCTGGACCCTGCCCTATTCTTTCATTGTCCCATTTCTCCAGTCACTGAGTCAATCCATCTCATACTGGGTCTTCCTCTCCTGCACTCCCTCTCCCTTTCCAAGCATGATGTCCTTCTCCAAGGACTGGTCCCTCCTGCATACATGCCCAAAGTATGTGAGATGGAGCTTCAAAATCCTTGCCTCCGTGGAGCAGCCTGGTTCCACCCTCTCCAGGGCAGGCATGTTTGTTCTCCTGGCAGTTCATGTTATGTTCAACACTTCTTCAGCACCACAACTCCAAGGCATAGATCCTTCTTCTATCATCCTTAGTCATGCATTGTCCAGCTCTCTGATACACAGCAAGTAATGGCAAATACTGTGGCCTGTATCACATGCACCTTAGACTCCAGACTGACATCATTGCTCTTCAATACTCTAAGAGGTCCCTGACAGCTGACTTTCCTAATGCAATTCATCTTTTGATTTTCTGACTGCTGGTGCCTGGAGTGTTGAGTGGACCCAAGCAAACTGAAGCTGTTAACAGTCTCAGTCTCTTCTCTTTTTATCATGATACTGCCAATTGGTCCAGTGGTGAGAATCTTTGTTTTCTTGGTATAGAGCATCAATCCATATTGAAGACTACAGTCTTTAACCTTCTGCAGCAAATGCTTCATGCCCTCCTCAGTTTCAGCAAGCAAGGTTGTATCATCTGCATAAGGCATGTTGTTGATTAGTCTTCCTCCAATCCTGATGCCACATTCCTCCTCATAAAGTCTAGCCTCACAAATTATTTGTTCTGCATATAGATTGAAAAGGTATGGAGATAGGATTAATTCCTGATGCATGTCTTTCCTGATCCTGAACCATGTAGTGCTTCCTGCTCTATTCTGACTACTGTTACCTGGTCCCAGTACAGGTTTCACATGAGCACAGTTAAGTTTTCTGGGATTCACATTCTTCTCAAGATTAGCCACAATTTGTTGTAATCCACACAGTCATCTCAGGAACAGGTTTGAGACCTTAAACACTAATGAATGAAGACCAGATGAATTCTGGGAGGATATCAAGAGTATCATCCATGAAGAATGCAAAAAGTCATTACAAAGACAGAGAAGGAAGAAAAGACCAAGATGGATCTCAGAAGAGACTCTGAATATTGCACTAGAGTGCCAAGAAGACAAAGCACAGGGGAGAAATCAAGAAGTAGCTGAACAGAATATTTCAAAGGGCGGTGCAGAAAGATAAAGCAAAGTATTATAATGAAATGTACAAAAAAAAACTGGAATTAGAAAATAAAAAGGGATGAATTCAGCATTTCTTAAGCTGAAGAAACTGAAGAACAAGGTTAAGCTTCCAGTTTCAATACTTAAGGATGCTGAGGGTAGAATGTTGAAAGACCCAGGTAACATCATAAGAATATGGAAAGCGTACACACAGTCACAAAAAGACATCTTGATTTAGGACAACTTGAACAAATGATAGGTAAACAAAGCACACATATATAAAATTAGAACTATAACTCTTAGTGCTAAAGTTGATATTGAACTCTAACCTTAACGAAGTAATTTACTCCAGCAACCACTTGAGTTTTATACTCCTCAGCTTCAAATTCTTCATAAGTCTCATTTGTTTGTTCTTCAAGCTGTGGCTTAACCTTAAGAAAAGAGGAAAGAAATTATTCAGGCATTACTGAACTTCACTTAATTGGTTTACAAATCTGGGAATCATATACCCCTGAATGTTCTCAAAGACAGTATTGTAATCACTGAGTCATTTGCAGTATTTCAATAGATAAGAAACCATAGATCTTTAAAAAATTGAATGGCTTAACTAAAATGTCATATTTTATTGATTTAGACTGAGGCATGCGGTTTAAATCCGCCAGCTGCTCCACGGGAGAAGGATGGGCAGTCTCCTGAGTACACAACAACAATGAAATAGTATACAGGATACAGCAGAACAATGATGTTAGTCTAGAGACTAAGGTACACCTGATCCATGGTCTTCGGAGTTACTTGCTATGCATCAGAAAGCTGAACAATGACTAGGGATGATGGAAGTAGAATTAATGCATTTGAGTTGTGGTACTGGAGAAGAGTATTGAATATACCATGGACTGCTAGGAGAACAAGTTTGTCTTAGAGATGTTGAAACTAGGCTGCTCTTGGAGGCAAGGATTCTGAAGCTTCTTCTGACATGTTTGGACATGTTGCAAGGAGAGACTAGTCATTGGAGAGGGATGTCATGCTTGGGAGGGTGGAGGGACAGTGCCCTTTGCTGGGTTATGGCCCATCGTCTCCACCTTCTGCAAGGTTATAGGGCACGCCAGCTAGACCCCCACTGGAACTTCCTGAAATCTGGTTACACTGCACCTTGCCCTCAGTGTCAGAGATATTAAGGTTGGCAAAGGACATAACAGGATCCAGAGCTGTTATACATAGGGTCAATGAGTTGCAGTAACTCAGTGGCACATAATAACAACAATAAAATAGTATAACTTTTTAAATGGTAAAACTCTAACAGTTTTAATTTTTTTATTAGTTAAACAACAGAAAAGTAATTATTACTATTGCTAATTGCCAGTGAGTTGAGCACGACTCATAGCGACCCTGTGAACAAAAGGCCTGAAGCCTCTCTGTAACAATCATCATTTATAGAGTTTCCAGAGGCATGTTATTTATGAAGGGGATGTTATACTTAATTTTTTTTTAATTTAGAGATAACTCAGACATAACAAAGTGGCAAAATTATTCCATTAAATTCTCTTACTCTATCCATGCAGTTTCCACTGTTTCATCTTATCCACAATAATCAGAAACAGCAAGTAATCATGGTTTCATGATATTTAGTAATCCATAGATCTTATTTGAATTTTGCTGCATGTTCCTTTTCTGGTCCAAGGTCCCAGCCAGGACGCTGCTGTTCCTATGTGTGTGCCATCCTGTTTCATGTTGACTCAGAGTAACCTCACGTCACAGAGTGGAACCACCCCATAAGGTTTTTCTGGTTGTGGTCTTTTCATTCAACAGCTGTGTCTCCTCAGTCTTCCCCAATCCCAGATGACACTTCAATCTTCCATTGACTTAAAAAATTTTTTTTGTTTTGTTTTTTTCTTTTTTTAATTTAATTGTTTAAAAGAATTTTATAGCATATTCTTCCCATTTATTTTTTTCTCATTCATTCATTGTTGCACATTTTCCTCCCAGCCGACCCCTCCCTCACCCCGTTCGCTTTTCTCTTTGAAAAGAAAAAAAACAATCCTTTCATTGTTATACAATCTCCAGCCCCCTAAGTCCACAGTCCGCTTTACTATGCATTTCTTTTTCTGGAATCTTGTTATGAAAATAATACCTAATCATATACACCTTTAAACAGTTCTCTCCCTCATCCATTTCAATGCAGTATACATTGTTTATCCCTTATTTTCTTAGATTCCCCCAACCCCAATGTCAGTCCCTTTTTACGCAAGTGGTAGTATGCAGTATTTGTCCTTTAGTGACTTAGATATTTTACTCATGATGTCCTCCAGGGTCACCCATTTTGTATACTATTTCATAAATTCCTTGTTTTTCAATGCAGCATAGTATTCCATTGTGTGAATATACCAGTGCTTCTCTATCCATTCATTTGTTGTGGGCACTTGGATTGTTTTCAACTCTTTGCTATTGTGAACAAAGTAGCAATAAATATGGGTGTGTATATATGTGCATGGGTGGCAGTTCTGGTTTCTTTAGGGTAAATTCCCACTAGAGGAACTGCTGGGTCAAATGGTATTTCTATTTGCAACTTTTTGAGAAAGTGCCATACTGCCTTCCATAGTTGTTGCT